TAATTAAATATGTGTATATATATATATTATTTAATTGAAAAATTGATAAAAAAAATACTATATATTTATATTTTATTTATTAACATGTATAATTTTAATAATTAATTTATCTAAACCTCCTTTGATCTATACAATTTTTTAGTTAACTAATCACAATTATTAATTTTATTTTATGATTAATTCATCCAATGACATTGGATTTACATAAATTCAATTATATATGTTCATTTTTATTTATTTTATTTTTGATATATTCATTCTCTCTTGAAATTTTTCTACACACTTCCTAGCCTTTATTTCTTTCTCTCTACAAAATAAAAAAGTTCGCACTCAATTTAATTCCAACAATATGATATTATTTTATAGTCAAGACACATATCTGTGCCTTCAAATATATATCTATCTTTTTAGGTTACATTCTTATTTTGGGACTAAATATAATGATATTTTCATCAATAATCTTAAATTATAAACTATAATCTATTTTAAGAAAAAATGATTACATTGACAACCTTTGAACATTTATTAGATTATTTATTTTTTTATACTTACACTAATTTCCTCAATGTTTAAAAATATTAATTACATTATTTTACACTAGCTACTACATACACACTTAATATTAAAAATAAAATTATACTAATATCTCCATATATATATATATATATATATATATATATTGAAATAATTAAAAAATAATGAGTATTTATATAAGTTTACAAAAATTCAGTTAATTATTGCATAATTAATTTTTTTAATAAAAAACTCACATTCATTTTTTAATTTGAGTGTCTATTTTCATGTCACAAAGTCAAAACTGAAATAGTCACATATTACGATTCAAAATTTAATACCAGTATTTAATAATATAAAATTCATAATAATTATTCTTCTGTAATAGATTATAAGTTTAATTATTGTTTTGTCATTTAATTTAATTTTTTAGGTTCAATTTATCCTTTTATTTTTTAAATTTTGAATAATTAGTCTCTTTATTTAATTATTAAGTTTAATTTAGTCCATTTATTTCAAAAATGGTTCAATTAATTTTTGTAAAAATAAAATTAATTTAGTCCAATTGTGACACTCTCTACCCCAACATTAATACACAATAAAATGTAAACAAATATTGTTTCTTTTTCTTTTAGAGTAAATAAAATCTTTCATGGTTAACAACATTTTTTATGTATAAAACAATTGTCTCAAATATCTTAAGGTAGAAGATTCACATTCCTAATTCATAAATCATAGAAAGTCATCATTTAAGTATCAAAATTCAAGAAATCATATAAAGGAAAATATAGATTAATTCCAGTAAAGGTGGCAGTGCCTCCTAGTTAGGAATTAATTTATAACTTTCAAATCATGTAATAAAAATAATATGACAACGATGTACATTTTGATCTTTTCTCAAGAACGTTCAAAATTACAAAAGAAAAGAAAATTAAAGCTTTTTAAAACAATAACATCCAAAATAAGTCCAGCTATGCCCGATGTCACATCCTATCAGAGCAGGCCCAACTGAAGCCTTAAGCCTCATCACCAACATCCTCATGATGTTGTTCACCTGCAACATAATTTAAACATATACAAAAATAACAAGGGAGTGAGAAACATCTCACTTAGTTTCAGGTGAAGATTAAAGGTTAGATAGCACTCACACACATACAACAAATATAAGTCACATGTAAACAATACACATACATCATTAATATTACATATACACTCATTTATCATGCAATGATGTCATGGACTCAACTCATAAATGCATGCATGTGGCACCGTACGGAAGTTTCACATATCATTACTGGTGACCCTAAGGTACACCTGGTTACATCACTGGTGACCCTAAGGTACACCTTGTTAGCATGTTACATCGTTGGTGACCCTAAGGTACACCTGGTTAGCATGTTACATCGTGGGTGACCATAAGGTACACCTTATTAGCATGTTACATCGTGGGTATGCGGCCTCAGCGGCACACCTGGAGTAATATATGCATATGATGCATGTCATACATTCATAATCTCATTGACTCAACATTTAACTTATTACATAATTTCATTTAGTACATCATATCATGACCATAAGGTACACCTTATTAGCATGTTACATCGTGGGTATGCGGCCTCAGCGGCACACCTGGAGTAATATATGCATATGATGCATGTCATACATTCATAATCTCATTGACTCAACATTTATCTTATTACATAATTTTATTTAGTACATCATGTCATTATTCTTCATATTCTCATAATCATAACTTGTCTCAATAGTCCATTCTTAGGTCTCATGTCATTTGTCCATATTTTACATGATCATGTCATAAATACTCCTCATAAGGTCCGCATAGGAATTCATACAGAACATTCTTTTTCATATTAAAACTTATTTAGTTTTAGCATTAATTCCATATTCATTTATTACTTTCAAGGAACAAAGTAACAAGGAACAAAGTAAAAACAAGGAACAAAGTAGAGCAAACAGAAAGACAGAACAACAGGCAAGGAATTGGGGGCCAATCCGACAATCAAACTATCCAACAATTATCCCCACACCCCCGAGCGAGGTTTCTCACTCCCCACCTTACCTGGATAAGCGGAGTTGAAACTTGGGCAGAGCCTCCTCCTCTGGATTCCCTCTTTCTTTCCCTCTCTTTCTCTCTCTCTCTTTCTCTCTCTCTCTTTCTCTTTCTCTTACTCTTTCTCTCTCTCTCTCTCTCTCTCTCTCTCTTCCTCTCTCTAAGATTTTCACTTTCTTACTCAATATAATTTTTTCACCCCCCTTGCCCCTATTTATAGGCATCCTGGCGCACCCGGAACGACCCGTATTGAATTCGGAACGGCCCGTTCCGGATCCTTCAAACATATGTAAAATTCTCAACTGGAACGACCTGTTCCAAAATCGGAACGGCCCGTTTCCAAAAAGCAGAACGACCCGTTCTGAAATTAGAACGGCCCGTTCTGGAGTTCACTTTTGCACAGGTTGACCATAAAGAGAACGGTCCGTTTCCAACTTAACTTTTTAGACACTTTTCTTACTCTGGAACGGCCTGTTTCACTTTAGGAACGACCCGTTCCGGAAAAATCCAATTAGGCATTTTTACAAATTTAGAACGCCCCGTTCCACTTTTGGAACGACCCGTTCTGCTGCTTCAAAGTCAGTATATTTTCATTGTCTGGAACGGCCCGTTCCACTTTTTGGAACAGCCCGTTCCAGCCTTAATAAAAATAATTTTATAAAAAATTTCATAAATAACTTAAATTATTAAAACCTTTTACAATATTTTATAAAAACTCCTTTTAATTAACAAAAACAACTATAAGAAAATAATATTCATATATATATAAATAAATAATAATAGATATTGTATTAGTAGAAAATTTGGAGTGTTACACCAATTTTTTCCTACTAGCTTCAAATATTTTAAAAAGATAAAAGCAAATTTAATTTTAAAATAAACCAAATAGAACATATTTTAACAAACAAAAACTTAATTAATACTTTTAAAAATAAAATTATGAATTTGAACAAAGAAAAAATTTAAAGAATGAAAATAAATTCATAAAAAGAAAAACTAAGATAACAATTAAACTTATATTATTATATAATATTTTATATGTATTCATATTTATATAACATACATCTTAAACTCATAGAAAATAAAAAAAGCAAAAAGCAAAGTCCCTAAACCCATGAAAACCCTGACCCATTTGAAGGAAAGAAATCCCTAACCCACGAAATCGCCTTCGTCCAGCCACCACCGCCTGCCGTCGCGCCCAACTGCCATCGTCCGTCGTGTCACCGTCAAGGTCTACCTTTTCCGATTATACTTTATATCATTAATCTTTTTTTTTTTTTTTTTTTTTAACAAGTTCAACAAATTTGGAGTATTTGAATCTGGTTTAGAATGTAGATATACATGATGCTTCATCTAGTGCTTTTAATTCAATTTTTCTTATACTTTTACTTTTCCTTTTAATTTCTTTAATTTGTTCTTTCATAATGTTTTCTGAAAGTGGGGAGATTCTGATTCGTCTAAAAATCTATGAGATTTTAGGAACCAAATGTTTTGATTTGAAGAATCACCTTTGGTATGAAATATTCTGTAGATGTTGCTTCCGTAGTTTAGGGGTGGTACTCTCAGTGAATCCTAGGAAGTATTTTCTGTTCGGCGAGTGAAGGGAGAACTTAGCATATTGGTTGAAGGGAAAGCAAACTATATAGTTGAACAGACATTTGAGTTTGAGAGTGAACTAAGAGAACTGATTGCAAGTGACGAGAGTCTCTCCACGGTGATAGCTTCCTTATATTTGTATGCCTTCAAGTTTAGTTTTAATAGAAGCTTGATTTAGATAAAAAATCAACACCTGTAATTAGCTTAAAATTATCTAATTTACCTTAGTTGATTTACTCAGCCATTTCTAATATTGAGTTACTGTGTAATTCCAATGCATTTGTTTGTTGATATGATGATGCCAGTTTGATAGTTACTTTATACACTTTGCAATATTGTGGTTGGCGGTAACCAAGAAAGTTGGATCAAATTAGAAACGAGAAAAGGAACTTGGTTTGTCAATTTTAATTATTCCTTAGCCTGGGTTACTACCAAACCATATATAGATATATATTATTTAGACGTGCATGGCCTAAATTGAAGCAATGATGTACAATTTTTTCTCCTTAATTTTCTTCAAAATTCTAAATGAAAGTAATAAGAAGCACATGCATCACATCTTCTGATATACAGATATATCCCTCGGCGGCGCCTATCCTTTTTCCTCTTTCAGCTTACAAGTTGCCTGCCTTTCTTTCGTAAACCCATGTTACTGTAACATATCTGTGTCTTGCCTGTACTTGTCATATATACTTGTATAAATATCTCTGCATATATATATATTAAACATTCTATAGTATCTGCACATTATTTTTCTTTATTTCTTCTTTTTATCATATATATATACAGACAGTTTTCTTTCTACAATTTCTTCCCTTCTTAGTTAATTACTACTCTAGCTCTTTTTCTTTTTCTTTTTTTCTTCAATGAAACCAGTTAAGTGTTGCTCCTAAGAAATTTAAAAATATGGTGCTCAACTGAAGTTTTATTCCAATTATATGTTGCTCTATTTTTTATTGTTATCTTTCTTATTATTTATTTTGTTAATTCTTTGCTTTGATTCTACTTTTCAAAATTTGAATTCCCATGATAAAAATAAAAGGGTTACATTATTCATTTAATACCTTTTTATAGTATTTTTTTTCTTCATCTCTTTCTATTAGACAGATCCTCTTATAGTATTTCTTTCTCTTTGTTTCATATTTTATTGTACAAAAAAATTATATACATAGTTTCTCAAAATAAAAGACTTAGTTCAAGTAATGTTGTGCAGGTTCAGTGGGATCAGATTCTTAAGTGTCTGATGTTTAAGGAAGAATACTAGTTAGGAGACACGTAAATTCACCATTGGTTTGTGCCTATGTAAATGAGCTAACCCCTTTTTTGTGCCTATGTGAAAGCTTAGTCTATTTCCTGCAGTTGATAATATTCGGTTCTTAACGCACAGATTTTATATTGTTCTATCTTGTTAAATTATTAGTATTCTTGAATGTCAGATTTTATGAAATGTGAATTGAACTCCTACTATTATGTGAGTTTGTTGGTTGTAGGATTTGACATGCTTTGCAAATATTTTTATGAAAGTAATCTTGCATGTCATCTAAGTATGCAAAGTTTGTATTTTCTGAATGGATTGATATGAAGAAAAGATAATCGTCTCTACCAATGTGCATAATATTTGAATTTTACTTGTGGACTGACATGAAGTGGGCCAAATCTAAAAGCAGGAAGGAACAAATGAAGAAACAGTTTTAGATGTACAGCATGAGTTAGAAATATATGTGAAAATATCTGGAGAAATGAGCCTATATAGACCACTAAATTGTAATATTGCATTTTTAAACATATGCTGAACATCAATCACATTGCTGGTTACATTTGTACTTCAACTGTGAATTTGGGAATTTTAATCTGTGTAACTACTTTTGACCATGCCCTCATCTCTATTTTACTGTCCTTCCTTGCTAGATTGTTGGCTTTTCATTTCATCGTGTTCTGTTTTCTGTGTGAGCCTTCTATACTAAGCAATTACAGGGATTTTTTGTTTAATTATGATTTGTACTGTACTTAGGAATCATTTACATTTAGTCTCTCTCTCTCTCTCTCTCTCTCTCTCTCTCTCTCTCTCTCTCTCTCTCTCTTTTTTTCATACATCACTTTTGCAACTGAGAAAGCTTTTAACCATAAAGTATTTATAGGCTGATACTTTTGGAAAGTGAATGCCAAAACTTTGTTAAAATAAGCTAAGCCAGTTGTTCGTGTTGAAACCTGATTTAAGGAAGTTAACTGTGTAAGGCCTTGTTTGTATACACTCTCAATAAGAATTATAGGAGAAGAAAATATGAAATTAAATGAATTAAACTTCTCCCATAAGTTATAATAGAAGTTAAGGGGCATAACTTAAGTTAATTTAACGAAGAAGTTTTATTCATTTGCTTTCTATTTTCTTCTTCTGAGTGCTGATTCTTTGTTACATATGAAAGCCAAGTAAATCATAGAAATGTTTGATATGATCTATTATTCTCATGGCTTGAGGTATCCTTTTGCTGCCATAGTTTGTCTTGGGTGATACTTGTTATCTGCAATTACTCAATGCAAGGTCCAAACCAGGAAACCTTGTGAGTATATAAGTAAACATTTTTTAAAAAATAGTTGGACTTTTTTTTTTTTTTTTTTTTTTTCGGGGGGGTGGAGGGTTTGGGGGGGGG